GACCGTCCCTTCTTTTGACAGGGTTTTTTTTTGGTTACCCGAGGGTACTTTTCCCCTTCAAACGGAGCCCGTAGCTCGCCTGGTTTTCAGTTTGTCCTCCATTTTTTTTTGGTCGACTTTTGACATTCATTTGACCTGTTTCGGTCGCACCCCTGTGCACGCAAAGCGATTCCATCGTACAAAAATGATGGTTAGATTAGAACTCAGTATACAGAATGAGTCTATGTAAATATGGTTAGAAGATCGCAACCATTATTGACATCACATTATTGTGAAACAGATTTGATGCATCATTATGTCCTCCTCATGTTGTTCATCATCAGTAACTTTTCTGTAATTTCCGAAGTGCGAAACTACGGACAAGATGATTTACAATAAAAATCACTCTGTCAGTCGAAACTCCGGTGATAATTCTTGGACGGGGTTAGTTTTCATTCGAATAGAGTGTGGATTTTCACTCTGGAAATAAGAGAGCATTTTATCGCCCAAACCAGAAAAAAAACACCTCGACTCACATTTTGACAAGAAAACTTTCAAACGTCCACACTGCCGACTAGAATTATAATATCGTCAGTTGGGTGCCAGTTGCTGATATTGAAAATTCGATAATGCACTCAATGCACTCATGATGTACTGTACACTTTGCTGCAATTGCCGTTTGCAGTGGATACAGAACCGGATGTTTCAAACTTAAAAATCGGGCAGACGTCCTGGACGACAATGTGGCATCGTGAACAATTAATATTGTGTTAGTAAAACAAAACCTTGAAAAATATTTTAGAAAAAAAATCCAATACAATCCTTCACGGACGTTCCAGCTCCATGGGTGTGTTCAATTCACAGAACGAAAAGAAAAGCTTTGACCGTGATTTATTGGCTGCCATACTCTGCGTTAAGAATGATGAAATTGAACAAACATTGAACACACGCGACTTTTTACTGTTATTCCAATATTTAAAACTAAATTATGAGATTCCGGCAAGTCCTCTTTAATTCTCGTTTGTAGCTCTCAGGTTGTATCGCGTCAGCCTACTCCTCTATCGGCCGTAATTTAAGAGTATGACATCTTAATGCCACTCGGATACAACCCGCTGTAAGGGACGATCGGGAAAAATGCCGGCCCCGCCAGCTGATGATGAAATCAGCGGGAAAACCCTCTCGGCCGCCCCCGTGTGACCCGGGGCCATCCCTGCGGTTACCGCTGAAAAAAAAGAGAAGAACTGACGATAGGGGACGCTAGCAGCCATCTGCGGTAAACACCGTTCGCCACGCGGTACGCATACACCGCTCCGTCCCTGGCTGGAAAGAAAAAAACCCGGCGCATTGGCGGGTTTGTTTTCGATAAACTTGCAAAACGGAACACGATAAGACCGGAAATGCCTGATCCCGGGAGATTAGCGGCTAGCAAATCATTCGCCCGGGATGTTGACAGACCGCTGTCCAAATAAGGCAAATCGTGGACTCGACCAACCGGCCCGGGAAGGGGAGGGCACTGTCCAAAAAAAAAAAAATTCGGAGGGGAAGAGGATGTGACGGCGTAATTACGTGAAATATGTCCCCGGCATTAAGATTGACCGACTTCCCCGGGCGTTTGTTTATTTGTAATACTACACTGCGAGGAATTTAGAATGTGATGAAATCCATCCGGTCACAGCTGGTATCCGAGGGCAGCCCCATGCCACTCCGGAAACGGAGGTGACAGCAGAGGAAAACCTCCTACGGAGTAATGGTGCCGCCCGAAGAGTACGCCCCTTCGCATTTACATATCAATACCCAAGTGCCTGCTCGCAGTACGGCCAGTGAAAGAATTCCGCCCCGCAGTAAATAAAGTCCTTCAGTGGGGACCGGAACGGTACGAGCTCGGGCGCTATAGGGTACTTGAATCTGTGCATGCATTCACGGTACCTCTCTCTTTGGAAAACCTCCAGTATTTTTGTGTGTGTGTCATTTTTATGTTTTTCACTTCACGATCGTTTGGGAGCCAGAGTGGAAATATCTAGCTGTGCGATATCGACACTGGGCCAGCACACATGGAAAGCTAACGCGCTCTTTTCCCCCTTGGTCGTGATATGTTCGCTCGGATCGGATTGGATTTCTATATACCTTTACTCGGGACGCATGACTAGAAGCACAGAGAGACAGGCACTGCCTGAACACATCAAACCGTAAGTTATCCTTGATGTCATCATCGTCAGTTAGGGGCATGTGTTGTGGGGAGTTTGGTAACACACTGATCGCGTGGTAGAGTAGAGCGGCATACAGCGCATTATACACACTACGCAGTCTTGCACATCTTATGCTTGTTAGTTGTAAAACACTCGATCGCATCTCGCTCGATTTTGTCGAAGGCCAGTGTAAATTCTAATCCATACCATGTATACGGTTATACGACTCAGTATACGGCGGGCATGACTGACCGTCATGACCATGATGACCGTTGGTTTACATATGAATTGGCGTAAAGAAATTCAAATCATTTACAGCGATGTTTATCTATGGTGCATGGATTTGTAGGCATGGGTACATAGTGCTAAACCATCTAGAAAGCACTACTGTCAATACGCTGTGCGTTCTTCTGGTACTTTATATTTCGAGTCGGGTCCAACGGCAAAAATTCGTGCCGTATGGTTTTCCAATGTGGACATGAAATTTAACCCGACCGGGTTGTGGTTTTTTTCGGTTCGTCCGGATCTCTCTTGGGGCCTGTGCTATTTCAGGGATAACCTGTATCGACGCAGGAACTCAACGACCGCTCTACCTCAAGGCAAACGGTATATACCGAGATTGTAGAGGAAGCAGGAAAAGTCAGCGTTTGCCCAGTTGATTTCTTCAGGCAAAAACGGGTATACATTGGTCGGTAATGATTTTACCCAACAGAACCATGCATTGCAATTGAACAAACCACGAGTGAGTTAAGTATATTAACTGACTGTTCGCATGGTACGGCAACAGTAACTTGAAGTTGCAGTTGAGGTCACTTCCCTTTTCACGCTAACACATGGCATTATGTAGGTGAGGCTCTATGGATTAAAAAAAAAAGCTCGCGTAGTTGGTGCGTTAATTATCGCTGATTATCATGGCTTTCCTGATAAACAGTGCGGGTGGGTGAATAAACTAAATCCTCCAACACTTGTCCTGGAAATTTGATTTGACCGAGGCTGGAGTTTCTCGCTAAACGACGCTGACCAGATCAGAAGAGAGAGAAAAATCTCAGGTTATAGCGTTGGACTTGGAGCGATTGAAGTTATTCCTAGAAATTCCTGACAGATTTTGTCTTTGTGGGTTTGTGTGTGTGTATTATTCCATTCTCATCATCTCATCTGGTTGTCGTGTTCTGAATGCGGTTGTGGAAGGTGTTATGGTTTCGCCAAAGTTGACCAAGTCCCAGATATGTGATTTTATCATTTCCCCCGAAAGAAATTATACGCTGTGGGTTTCTCACACGTAGAGAGCATGGTGAGAGTTCCTAATGATTCGTTTACAAATTACATTCCACTGTTAAACTCTTTAGCCAGAAAAGAACAAAAACATCCCCGTGTTGTACGATGTGCTCATTCGAGTTCTGTGAAAACAATCTCTTCTCTCTGGCTTTTTTTTTGTACTCCTCCAACGCGAAGGGAAAAAATAAATAGCTCCGGAAATGGTTTCTGCGAAAATCATTAAGGGCGAACAACTGCATGCTTTGATCCCCGAAGAGCGAGCGTTTTACACGTCACAGCCCGGGACAGACTCGCTGACTGCAGGAAAACTGTTTTCACAGACCTTCCCCAAGAAAATAATAATAAAGCAGGTTATTTTTTTCCTTTCCAGACATAGGATCAGCATTTGTTGTGCCAGTGAGATATTATCATTAAGGGATCCGGCCATTATTGTGATGTTTATTGAGGGATCCCAAATGCACAGCAGACTGGATGGCACTGGCACTATACTTGACATGGCAGAAGGGGAAAAATAATGAGGGGAAAAATAATGAGGGGAAATATAATGAGTCCCTCGCTGAGCGTGAGGGGGAGATTCCTACGACAAGGATCAATTATACGTCAACATGTGTTTCCTCTAATCATCAGCCGACAGTTTGCCGTCCGGTGTGCACCCCCCTCCCCCCCCCCTCCCCCTCCCCATTCCGACATAATTCCATCTCCGTTGTAAACGGTCTCATATTAGAGCCGGAATTGAAATTGAAAGCATCCACAAGCAAAAAAAACACTACACAAATCGGAGTGAGTGAAAGATGTTCCCTATTTGGATGTAATATACACACGTGTGTAATAATAGTACCCAACTTGAGGTTGTCTCATATCCGCACTTCCGCTTTTGTGTATACGTCCGGCTTTCAAAAAGTCACAGCATCATTTCCAGCGCTTGATTAGAGAGTTCCGAGTCGAGGGAGTTTATATGAGAGGGGAGCTATAAACAGAGGGCATCGGATGTTCTTCATATCATTAACCTGTAGGTGACAGGCCGAGCTAGCTCGCATGTGTGCACACGCGGAGGGGACTGTATTGTGTTGACTTCGCTGTAAGCTTGTATGTGTGTGTCCCTTCTCACGACCCTTGGTCCTGTTGTTCGACAGTCAGCATGATCATGGTAGTAACTTTCTCATGTCGTGTTATCTAAGCTATCGAGCGATATATTTCATGGTTTTAATAGCAAGAGACTGTAAATATCTTGTTTTATAGTTATACCTGCTGTGGAAGGCCCTAGTTAATAGTGTACATAATCTCTCTTCCTTTTTGGGGTTAGGCTAGACTCGAAGTTGTTGGAGTTGTCTACTTGATCAGCTGATGCTTCAGTGAGAATCCCCGCAGCAAGGTCGCCCCAATCACTCATAGGCGCCCCGTGAGCAAAGATCAACCGGCTGCCAATATTTTCCCCCTCACTTGCGTGACTCGCATGACTTCATGATCATAAAGTATAAACCTTGATTTGGTTTGGGGTTTTTTTATGTGTGTATGTATCATTCTTTGACTTTTGCGTTATTTTATGTCTTGTCTGCACAGAGTTTATGGAGCACCGGCTTGCCGCATGTTGCATCCATGGCACAGGATGGAAATGGCGTGATATCGCGGCAGCCCCGGTCTGACTTGACCAGGTCCTTGCGGCAGTCTAGCGGACAGCAGCAGCTCCGGAGCCTGGACCTGCCGGCCCTGCAGAACGCCCCGTTGGAGCGGCAGGCCCGCAGGAACGAATACGTGGATGTCCCGGGCACTGAAAACCGGAGGAATAACAATGAGAGCCCGTCGGTAGTCCTCTCCAGCAGCCACCAGCACCGCGGCCACCGGTCCACTTGCATCATCGTCTCGGACAACGGCAAGACCAAAGTCTTGAAACTTGGCAAACGGGAAGTCAGTAGGACTAGCGACGAAGTCAGCGAGGCCGCTGCCCATCACCAGGCCAGGACCTCGCTGCACTGTTTCGACAGCACCGACATCATCCCCTGCGCGAATTGTGGGCTATGCTGCTGCGACCAGTGCCGGCCCAGAACAGACCCCAACAACCACACCTGGCTGTGCAGGGACAGGTACGAGTGCTCAGCCGAGAACAACTTGGAGCATTGCACCTGCCTCTGTTGCGTCAAGGGATTATTTTACCACTTAGCGGACAGCAACCACGATGACTACTCGTGGGGCGACAAGCCGTGCTCGTGCGGGGACAAGAGATGCTGCTTGAGATGGTCCATAATGGGAATGATCTCGCTGGTATTGCCCTGTCTCTGGTGCTACTTGCCTGGGCGAGGGTGTATATCGACATACAAATACTGCTTTGGCAGGGACGGCTGCAAATGCAGGGAACCCGATCCGGATTACGAGTGGTTCGGAGCCGTCTCACTGTAGAAGCCTCACCGCAATCCTCCTCGTCGTCTTGTGCAAGCCTGACAGTTCCCAGCCTGCCGGCGAACATGGGGTACATCCGACACCGGTGCGGGCCAGCGGGGCGCCCCGTTTCAGGCCGGCGGGCCGCGGTTACCGCGCGCCCCGCCGAGTCAATGACATGCCTCGCCACGTGGCCACCACGGCAGAATTTCCGTAACTCAAGGATATTATATCAGTGCGGCGGCTGTGGAAACAACGCTCGAGTTGCAGCAGCGGGGCCAGCGGCCGGCCACCACCGAAGCATCCGAACGCTGGAACCACTGCGGAACCGTCTACAGGATAACCAGGGATATATCGCATCCACCGTGCAAGGAATTCTGATAAACAGGAGCGGACGTCTCGTGTGGATCAGACCCAATCGGTAGCACAAACCCGAGGGGGCCGTTCAAAAGCGTCTCCCTTCAACCCCCTGGGAAGAGAAATTATACACACAAGTCACAAGAAATATGTGATCGCATGAAGGAGAGGAAATCAAACCACAAACACACACACACACGTGTAAATGTACCGTCCCGCGGTGGGGGACCTGCTTCAAAGATTGAATTATTTTTTATTATTCATGGGAAAAATGGTGCAATGAACACTACACCTAGATAGTGTGCTAAATATAATATGTATAGAGAAACAAAAGTGTACGGTTGTGTAGTAAAATCAAGATGTATTGTGACCCCAAAGAGAAACCAATCGGAAGGGCCGGCGCTGGATCCGATTCCAATTAAGAATTCAGGTGAAAAACGCACAGGTGGATATCAAAGTACAGCGGGCCCGAAAAACAACGACCCCACGTACGCGTTTAGCAACTCCACAAACCTCCAAAAAACAAAACAACGAAAAAATTGACCTTGCCGATTGTTTTTTCCCGCGCTTTCCAGCTTCACCGGAATTGGAAACACAAAACCGGGCCTAACGCAAATCACCGAGCTAGCTGGGCAGATGTTTGTTTAACGTCTCGTCCGGATATCTCGCATTTCACCTTTTTACTCCACTTCAGGAGAAGGCGAAGAAGAAAAAAAACATGTTTTCAAACCCTTAATGGTAGAGCTGGAGTAGCCACATAGATCCCACTGTTTTGATATTAAGTCTATACATAATATGTACTGTAGATATTTATATATGTATATACATGTATATATGTACATTTTATATATATATGTGTACATACATATATATATTATATATAGATATAAACATTACACTCGATATTAAAGGTCGTGTCGGTCAGCGTTGTTTGTCTACAGCGAGGCTTTCATTTGCCTTCGTGTTTTTATTTTTATTATTTTGTTCTTCAAAAACACGCCTATCAAAAGCCTCGCTGTAAACACCAAGTGTAGTAATAAACCCACAATTTCTGGATTGTTATATGAATTTTTGAAAACTGGTTGTATAAAATTATGTACGAATCCTGTTGGTTAATAATATTAAATGTAAAAAAAAACCTCGCGGACAGTATTCAGGTAGAGTTGTAATAAGCGCAGGGATTGTGGAGGGAGTCGAGGAAGAAGTGAACAAAACAAAAAGGAAAGTAAAAAAAAAAAAATTCGTTGGTGTTCATTCACCAGGATCACGCAAGTCATGCTCCACTCCTCCTTTCATTTTTTTTTTTACCAAGCGCTCTGTCCGCCCAAACTACACACTGTTTCCGGCAGCTTTTCACGCGAGGACAATACCGAGTCTCTCAATGGAGCTGTAAAACCTCATCGAGTGTGCCAGTCAATAATACTCTATTGAACAATTCCCTTAAAACGGGGGGAGTTCACCCGCAGTTCTGTAGCGAAAAGAGGTCCCTTTTTTGGCCCGCGGGCAACTTAAGCCCAGCGCTGGCCCCCATAAGTAGGAGTCATTAGTGGGTAAAACCTGTGAAACTTTTCAAGGGCTATTTCCTCTCGGGTTTTTTTTTCTCCCTTGATGATTCTTAACGAGTAACTTCCTAAAACCCCCCATTAAAAAAAAAAAAAAACTCCAAGCTACCCCACGTAAGTGATGGGCTTGTTCAAGCATTGTCAATTTGCATGGAACAAAGAGAAAAGTACAAAAACTCCGGAAATATTGAGGAGAAATATCGGTGGACAAAAATTATCAGCCTCCCCACGCAAAAAAAACCCATGCATGCGTGAACAATTTCGCCAGCATTATCATAACTGTAGAGGGGTGTTTGGTGCAGGGCAGCCGGTTGGGGCTGGGGCTCAGTCGTGCGAGCGCCGCTTTGTTAGCCACGCCGAGCTGTGTAATTTAGCGTACCCTTTACCCACCGTCTGAATTTACCAAACCGATAAGTGCACCCCTGTACCAATGAAAAAAAAAGGCTGCGGAATAAATCCCTCCAAAAGGTACGGGCCGGGCCATTGTGGCCGTGTATTGCGGGTGTGAAGTCGGGCAGAAAACTTTCCCCGGCGACTCGGTCGGTGTATTATTTTTTTTGGCAACTGCGAGATTTGTTCACACGTTCCTCCCTAAAATGCCTCGATGCTGCTGGAACATTTTTTTTTCTTCAGACAAACATGTGGCTTGCCGCGGATTTGCAGCACATTTAGGTTCATGTCAAGGATGATTTTTTTTTGGTTCCCTTGTACTGCATTACCCCTTCAACTGGAAACATGAAACGTACAGCAAGGCTTTTCAGCGCAAAACTGAAGAAGAAGAAAACAAAACTGAAACTGAAGAAGAAAACAAAACACTACCATTTTTATAGGTTTAATTATGCTGGTACGTTCCAATCTAGTTCCATATGCTGTCTCCGCTTCGTGTAGTGCACAGAGCAGGCTGACCTCTATTTTTCCACGAAAACCATTGAATAAATCATTTGGGATTAGTAAACACTTTTTTTAATCAAAAAGCTGGGGACAGTACGATTATGTATTCTTATTTACTATACCTGGCACCGCGTTGTTTGTGTGAGAGAAGCCGGAAACATGGCGCTGGGCGCGCACAGTGCGCATGGTCATAGGGGTCAAGTCTTGACGACGACCCGCCATGATGGTCGCGGTGGGATGCCCTCTTTTTTACCAAACTTGTTCGGTTCCCTCCAGAACTCCTGTTGTCGCAATCATGTCAAATTTTAAAGTTGGCTCTACTCAGTTTCTTCACCAGTTTTTTTTGTTATCCCTTCACTGCCATAACTTGTACCGATGTTATTTTTTTTTTAACTGGTGTTCAGATAAGCACTTTCAACTTCAATCTTTTTCCATCTCACCTGCTCAGCATTTTTCCCTGACTTTATAATTTCAACTCGGTTTAAGATTTTAAAACAAAATCTGGCATGTGATTTTTTTTCTCTTCTGTAGTTTAGCCAACCTGAAACACGTGCGTCGTTGGCATAAGCACACGTAGGCTTAAATTCATACATGCACCCAGCTTAACCCGGGCACAGTACAAGGTACAGGCGATGATTGTACTCAAAACGCTAGCCCTGTAGTGCACCGTATTATTCACAAGGGGTCGAAGGTCGCTTGTAGGTAAACTGTGCCGGTCCCGCAAATGTTTGCTCTTTTCTCTTCTAGTTCTATACTCAACGGCAAATGATTCAGATTTGGCTTTACTTTTTAGGGGCAGCTTTAATTAGTAAAAACTCCGCTTGAAACACATGGAAAACAAACTCCGCTTGGGAAAAAAGTTAGACCAGCTCTGAGAAAAGTTTCTCAACAGATTTTGAAGTCTATTTAACCCGATGCAATTTCCTGGTTGAACTACTTGGACGAAGAGACGAGAATTTTAGATTCTCAGACCCGATTTGCACAACGGAAAAAAAGTTGAAACTTGCCCCGTGCCCGATCTGGGGATGATTAGCGCAGGCCAGCTTCTGATTGTGTGCAGCCCTACAGATCTGGGGCTTCCCGCGTGAACGGCACCCTGGCTCGGTTCACACTGCCAGTTATATCAATCAACTAAAAAAAAAATCTAAAAAAAAAAAATCTCGGAACAATTCCTCCGAGATCGAATCCGGTGCAAAGTCCCAAGGTCGACACAATGGGACTGTGTGAGATACGAGCCAAAAAAAGATGGTAAACTCGTGGGTAGAGTACACAGGAAGTCACTTGTATACTCGAAATGTTGAAGAAGAAGAAAAAAAATCAGCTTGTTTGTTCACCGGGTTATTTGCTTGCTGACCTAAATCCTCAGTGCCAAAAGTGGGAAATAAATAGAGCCATGTTTGTTCAGGGAACACACACAAAAATAATGATCCGCGGTTTTTACTGGGACTTGGTAGGGTGGGTGCTCGTATGAGACTCTTATAAAAAAAAAAAGAAAACCAAAATTTGCCTGAACTAGAAGTGTTCATCATTGTAGTTGTTGATGCGATTTGTCAGTTTTTCGTGGAAGCTACAGAGAAACCGTGCATTAATCAGTTTTCTTAACACTAAATCCAGATTCTTTCTCGCCATACCTGCAGTTTCTTACACGTGGTACCTATAACCCAGACCGATTGTTTTGTACGGTTATATTGCTATGCAATGCAACGTCGTTTAGTTATTGACACAAACAGAAATGCAAAAAAATGCCAATTTTTCAGCTAGAATTTAACTTACCCAGCATTTTGTTTTTTGGTTAATATGGCATTTGTAGATGCTACAACTTAAAAATGACGAGCAACTCAGTTATTGCTGGTTCTTTTAGCTGAAACGTTTCTCTGCGTTTTACTGTTGCTTACTATTTGTCAGGATACTTTTCTTTATGTCAGACTTCTCGCGTAAACTCTCATTCTTTCTCGTGAGCAATGGACGAGACTTGACATTTTTATCAAGACGATGCATTTCTTATTGTGCCCAAAAAATCCTTCCGTTTTTTTGTTTTTTTTAACTTCAAATCAAAACCTAACTGCCTCATCTCCTTTAGTTGAGATCTTCAAGCAATTAATGTTTCTCACAGTCTTTTTTTTTTAATCTATTTTTTTTCTGTAAAAGATTACGATCGCTTAATTCTGTACCATTGTATTCACACTGCAAGTTGTCTGACTTTGCAGTCAGCTTCATGTATTCATGTTGTGTTTTTGTTTTTGTTAAGAAAATAATGTAATGTATTATACCGGTGCTTTAGCACCGACCAAAATTATATCATCATAATGTGAATGCAAGGGGAAAATAAATCTGTATAAACAGTAATATTACATTTTTTTTCCTTAAAAATGTGGAAAACTGGAATCTTCTTTGTGGTTGTTAACGACCTCCCGTATCGTTAAGAGGTAAACGCCCACAAAGTAGGATGTAATAGTTTTTTTTGTTCGGTGAAGAATCATGTTTTTAATTTTACTCTAGAAAACATGTTATCGTTACTGATGTTTTAACTGCATTTTTCTGCCAATTTCTTTTTTTCCTGTTTGTATAAAAAGGTTCAGAAAATGTTAAATAATTGTTATACTCATTTAAGAAAGGAAAAGAAGTTGTTTCTTGATTACAAGAGTGGCGGGTTAGCGGAGTCTGTGACGTCACCGCCGTATATACGAAAACCGGTTAAAGGTTCCATTTTTCGGTCGCAGGCAGGACCGCAAATGTGGTTCTAAAAATGGCATTGTGTCCCCTTATGTTGTTACCAAAAAAAGCAAAAGTGTTCATTTCTTTTCTGTTAGACATATTTTTGACAGTGTAAACTCATTTAGTGGAAAAACACACACACGCAAAAGATTTGGTACGAGGTTGAGCCACGCATGTCAAAGGTCATGGTGCATGCGTAATGAAGCTCATGCATGTACATTCGAGCGATACGATGTATTTAGTAAGCAAAGTTGCTGATCCCTTTTGAATTTGATTTGATTTTGACTTAAAGAAAAAAACAAAAAAAGAATCACATGTGGTTTGCTTCTGAAGATAGGAACTATTTATCTGTATTTCGTACATGAGAAAATATGTGGAGTTCTATTTTATTATATTATTTATTTTTCAGGAAGGTGTTGAAGAAAAAAAATAACATGGAAAGCAAGAATGCTACGAGATAATTTGTTCCAACTGTTTCAATCCTTTTCCTAGTTAGTGAGGCGGTGAGGGGCGAGTGGTGACCGGGGAACGAGGCGCGTTTTACCCCCGTGAAGGCAGCGCTAGACCGCGCTCAGTTGGTTCCATTTAGCGTGTTTGCGGGTTGCTCTGCATGCTATCTTTCAAAGCTGAACTTTTTTTCTTTTATGGGATATGGGATTCTGATAACTCCGGGTTGATTTTGAAGCTACAGGCAGCAACAGTGTGACACGAGATAGACCAAAAAAATATGGAAATTCTAATTAAGAACCGGGGTGCGCCGAAGGAAAACATTCCATGGATTGTTTAATAATAGAGCAGTGGCCGAAAACGTCTACCAAACCAAACAAAAAAGAGGAAAAATAAGATAGATATTATGTCTGACTGAGACAACATTCGTTTATATGTGCATGCATGGGAACATTGTTTCCCCCATATGGTTTAACATTGTTGTATACCATACCAACGGGACTTTTTAGACGGGCGGTTAAAGGTCGAGCGATTGTTTAGATGACGCCGTCCAACTTTGCACTTTTGGCGAGTGAAACATCAGTCGACTCCACGCTCTGTCGTTCAAAAACAACGTCCTGGTATACAGACCCAATCATTCTCCCGTATGTTCTGTTCAAACAAACACTCTCAGAACTCTATTTTTCCTCTGTTTCATTTTTTTTGTTAAAATGTCACCCGTGCATTGTTCAAAATTGTTCTGCATCTACGACATGTCTTCTGTTAATAATAAGACACACTAAAGCAGTCTGCTTAATTCTTTTGCTCTTTCTTTTACCGTTTTCTGTAAAGTTCACAAGAAAATGCTGCATTATAGGCCCCGTTGCATTCTCTGCCTAACTTATACGTCTAGGCTATCGTCATGAATGCACACACAAAAAATGCAAGTTGAAGAAATGGACACCGATAATGATTTTGCCGATTCAAGAAACGACAATACAATCAATCTGAAGCAGTTTATCCAAAAACTAACATGTCGAAATTTCAGCTCATATAAGTTTTAGATATAACTGTGAAAACGCCTCTTCATTTTAATCCCGGCAAAGCATAAGTTTCCGTTGACAGAGCGATGGTTTAATTGGTCTTAACCGTCGCGAGGAACATGATGGTACACTCAACTAAGAAAAAAAAAAGTCCCCCCCCCCAATACTTTTTTGTCTAACTCCAAAACATCTTGCTCAAATTGTGACTGATCAGTACAGAATTTGGCCCTTAACAGTGATGATGTGTACAAAATTATGCAATTTATGACAAATGGTACCGAAAAAAGGTTGCACTTTTGTGTACGCACAAGGTGAGTGTGAAACACAACTTGCACGTATTCAAAAGTGCAACTGTTTTCGGTATCATTTGTCATAAATTGCATAAATTCGTACACATTATCACAGTTGTGGGCCAAATAAAGAGTATGGCTGGATTACTAAGGATTTTCTGTACTGATTAGTTGTTATTTGAACGAGAGGTGCTCAGTAGTTTTTGAGTTGGACAAAAAAGTATTGGAAGGGGGGGACTTACTTTTTTGGTTGAGTGTATTTTCTCTTTTTCTTAAAAATCACAGCATACTTCACCAGACGCAGTGATTTGTCACAGGATGCACGATCCCATTTTTTAATCAAGTAGGATATTTCATGCTATTTTTTTCCAGTTGCATTTTTAAATGTTTGCGAATGGTGCCCGTTAATTTAAAGAAGACAGTTTATATGTAGTTTGATGCTTGCCGTTATTATAAACAGAATAAAATCCTGGCTTAATCGCCGCCACGAATTATTACGGAGCGTCTCCAAATTGCGGAGATAAGCCCTATCGCTCGATCGCCTTGTGCAAATAATTTGAGCGATTACTATTTTTTTCCCCGGGGTCCAACCTCGCTGCGCACGAAGTTTAAAAAAAAAAGTGCGCGACTGCGCGAGCGAGGCTCAGATTAGAAAATAAATTCGCGATTAAAATAGAAAAGTCTCTTCTATTTTTCCTTCCACCAAGCTTTTACACGCAACCTCAACCCCAGCAACAAACCGCATTAAGAGGCCCCAGGGCGTCAGAGCCCCCCTGTATACACTTCTTTGCAGTTATGAGACAGGACAATCATTTTAAGATTTCTGTTGGCTTTTGTAATCGCGGGCCCGGCCTGTTGTCGTTTGCCCAACAATTTGTATAATACTTATCGCTTCTCATTATAACCCATTTACCATGAATGGCACAGCGTTAAACCGTCGGTGCCCAAAAAATGACCCGCTTTTACCTTGACAGAATGATATAATTTTTAAGTGAGGCCGAGAGGAATAAAAAAAAAGTTCATCTTGGAAATTTAATCGTTCGCGTGCTATTTCAACCTTGGAATGTACATGTACACTTAATTCGTGTATTATAATAGTGTGTACATAATGTATACAAAATGTATACAAAATGTATACAAACTGTATACAATCTGCAACGATTAAACATATACGTGTACATGTACATGTACATGTACGTGCGCACTTGGAACGTGTTTTACTTGCATTTAGGGCCGCTAAGCCAGCGCACTGCATGCATGCCTACCCCCAAGGCCAACTCTGAAAGCATTATGCCAGCACGTCGGCTGAATTCCGTGCTCAAAACTCATTGGGCTCTCTTGATGGCCGATATAACCGAATGGCTCGCCAACCAGCCGCGGAATGTCAACTACTTCCGCTGCGGTATATACCGGCTGTTCGGCATGCTGGCCCCGTGGCATCCGGAGGCCGGCCGCTTGTTGTTGGCTACTGGCCGAGCTGGGCCGAGGTTAGGGCCGCGCCAGGGCCCCCACAGCTGGGGATGTCGTCCAACGAGACAAATAGCCTAGCCTAGCCCCGCGGAAATGATGCTGATGATAATGATGATGGTGTTGTTGGTTATGATTATGAAGATAGGCCTGACCGTGGGAAACAGCGGGACGATCGCGAGCCAGCCAAGCATCGAATCCCTTATTACACAAGTAAATCACAAGTCCTTTCCCAACCAAGTCCGGTCAAAAGTATTGAAATCAGAAAAGTCCGATCACAAAGGGGACGAACAAGTACAAAGGAATTCCTTTGTCAAAGTTCATTCGAATAGCTTGTGACTTGACTTGGGATGGAGGAAGTTGCGATGGATTTAATGATGGATTCGACTACAGCAGTGTTTGCAACATAAAGCAATGCTTCACGATTCCAATGACATCATCAGTGCGACCGTGACCACGACAGTGAGTGACAAGGTACATCTGACAACGACAATCAACGCCACGGCAGAATTCCCCCTTATAAGCTGAAGTCCACCATCACAAGACCAGATGGTATTCCTCTCTAAAACCAGACATAATAATCTGAACCCGACTCTCTGAACAGCAAAACCATACCTGATCTGACCATTAGAGAATTCCTTTTCTCTGTGATCTGAATTACCTCATTTGGATTCTACCACTATCTTTTGGGTGATATTCTGTTGGTCTCTGATGTACTTGGGATTGCATTATATAAGAGCTTAATACAAAGCGAATCGGAATTCACATGCATTGGGTTTTGTTTTTTGGGGAGGGGAGGAGGTGATGGACCAGGGGCCGATGCTATGGAGCTGCAAAGCACAGAAACATGGTATATAAGCATAGAAAAAAATGCTTAGCAAAAACTGGTTACCAGCCAACATGTCATGTGATGTCATGACGTGTGACTGGCTCTCTGCTGATTCTCGCTTAGCACATTTCTTCAGCTTAGCACTAGCAGATCCACATAATTGGACCAGGTGTTACCGAGTCGTATACCCGTAACCCTCGGGCGTGGGATACGCTTTGTGGCGGCCCCGCCTGATGCTGGCCCCATGTTTGTGGCTCGCCGCAGTGACATCTGGCGTTGTTGAGGTATGTCCCACCATTCCAAACGGTGTCCCACCAATGTCCCCCCCCCCTCCAAAAAAAGAAACAGTGGAGAATGCCATTTCAGACAACGTTGATACATGTACTTTCTTTGTAGAGACATTGCCCCTTTAAATCTCTGTTAAAGGTACTCCCAGGTGAAGTTTCGAGTAAAGCCCGGCGTACACGCACGTTTCACCCCATCACAGGTACGGGTTTTTTTTCTTCATCGTTGCGGTTAGAGTTAGACCGCAACGTTACCCGCACAAATGCCCGATTCCGTTCTGTAATCAGTCACAAATCATGATGACAAAATGGCAGCCGTCAATTTTGAATCATGTGACTTCCTTCGTGAATCTGATTGGTTAACATTAATATCGCGTCCGGTTTCCGGTGACATTGGATCCGGTGAAATCGGATGCGACAAAAATCAAACGTTTGATTTCATCCGGTCGCCCGGTGTACGGTCAGATCGGTCTGATTTTTCGGCACACACCTCTCGGTACGATGACCCGACGATCCGGTGAACCGGCAAAATTGGAAAGTTGTGCGCCGGGCTTAAGCATCGAATCGAGAACTGCCGATGTACATCATGGATACCGTTTTCATCATAGATACCGTTTTTAAAGGGACACGTACCCTTTGTTCATCACCATTAAAGGTATCTCATGTAAAGTGGCTTGGAAGTAATAGCGAATAAATTGAACTCTGTAATTACCGATCAGAATTTTCTTTCATTTGCTGTTTGAAAAGTAATCGGTGCAATTGTCATCAATGTGGACAGTGGTCACTGTTCGCAAGCGTTAAAATCAAAGACGTATTGACGACACGACTTGTGTAAAATTTCAAGGCTTTAAACTTTGAAAGCGGAAACTAGTTGTCAGTTTTATTATGATCGTCATCTGCAGAGAATACATTTGGTTTCGGTGTGCGGATTGTGGTCTGTGGCTTACAGATTCGAGAAATGGAGAGAAGAAACTGGTTCTTTTCCCACAGTGGCAGTGGAGCGCAACACAATGTTCGGGAATGGAAACGCAAAAGCCGTGACGGGCCATAAATTGCCTCAAAGTCGTGTTTTCTTTTGACGTGGTTTCCAACAATTCGTCCCACACAACGGGAAACGTGCGT